GAATGCCATGGGCAACCAGGCCATGGGTCAAGGAAACGCTCAATTCGGCAATCAATTCAGTCAAGGTCTTCAGCAGGCTCCCAACCCAGCATTCAATGCCATGCTTGCAAACATGTCGCCAGAACACCGGCAACAGGTGAGCGAGATGCCTGCAGAGAAGGTTCAGGAAATTATGCGAAGCTGGCAGATGGCACGCCGGGAGCAGATGAATGGAACTCCACAGCAGAACCAGAATCAAAACGCCATGGCGAACCGCCAGCCGGGTCAACTCGGCCAAATGCCCCCGAACATGACTGCCCCTGGCCCGCAGGGCATGCAACAGATTGCGAACCCAAATCAAGCTCAAGGTCGGATGCCTAATCCTAATGCTCAGGGGGCGTTGATGGACTCCATGGATCTTCCTGCCCAAGCCATCAACCAGATAAGCCAGTTCGGCCAACTTCCCCCCGAGGTGAAGAAGTGGAAGGATCTCAAAATCTGGCTGAGCCAGCACAATACATCCCTCCCCCAGCAGGTGAAGGCTGAGTTGTCACAGTGGCAATGGAGGCAGTTCCAGCAAGTTATCCAGAGGAGAGCAGCAGCTCAGCAGGGGCAAATGGCCGGCATGAACCCAGGGGTGCCGAATGCAGCAGGCCAAATGATGAACCAACAGTTCCAGCCGGGTGGCATGCAGCAACGACAACCAGTTAATGCGAATATGCCGCCCTTCACGGTCACTGCGGCAGACCTCGCAGCAGTGCGCAACACCAAGCCACAGCTAGCACACATGTCCGACGACAAGCTTCGTACCATGCTCATTAACATGAAGCAACGCAAGGTCTTGACGCAGCAGCAACAACAGCAGCAGCACGCATTAAGAGTCGCCCAGCAAGCCCAGAACCAAGTACCTGGACAACAGGTTGGAATGTCAACTATGCCCACTTCGCAGCCTCCAATGCAACAGCAGCCTATGGCTCAGCATGGTCAGCGCGGTCCCATGGGTCAAGGTGCTCCAATGCAGGTTAACAACGAACAAAAGCCACAAGGCGCCAGCCAGAATCAAATGATCAACAACCGCGGCAACAATAGTGCTGCTCCTGTCTCAACCTCCCCCCCTACAAAGAACTTGAAGCGACCCAGCAGTGACGATCTGACGGTCACGGCTGCTCCAAACCAGCATATGCCACCCCAGCAGCAGCAGCAGCAGCCTCGCAGGCAATCGCAGTCTCAAGGATCTAAGGCCATGGCACAGCCATCTGCTGATGACATGACACAACGAAAGAGGCCAGCACCAGGGGCTCAGCCCGCACAGCAGCCTGCAGGCCAGGCCGCGCAGTTCCAGGTTCCGGAGAACCTGGCTCGCCTCAAAGTAATTGGACAAGTAGAGCTCCGGGCACATGCTCAGGAGACGATGCCTGATATACCCATGAGCCCCGAAGAGCACGCTGAGACTTCGAACAAGCTCAAACGCATTGTTGTGGACATGAGCAAGATTGGTCGCGGTTTGAAGCGATGGTACGAACTGACACAGGATGACGAGCGGGCGAGGCAATTCTTCAGAACCCGACTACGCATCGTGAAACAATTCGCTGATGGGGAGCAAATGACCAGCATCAAGGAGGTTCTGAGCATCAATTGCGCCGAGCTCGACCAAGCCCGTTCGTTGCTGGAGAGCATGGCAAAGGATCTCGCCAACAGCGTCTTTGGCCGCGTGAAACCAGGAATGCCGCAACAGGGCCAGCAACCTCAACAACAGAGGAACGCGCAACAGCAGGCACAGGCTCTTCAACAGCAGGCCCAGCAGTCGGGCCCTGCACCCCTGAACGCCGCCAATCTAGCAAAGAACTCGCAGGCCCTCCGAGCTCAGAAGCATTCGAAGCAGGACATCCCCCCCAGCGCTCCAACCACAACGACAGCGCCTCCATTCCCATTCCAAGGTGCTGCTGGCAATCCCATTTATGCAAACGCACAGAGCCCGGTCAACATGAATCTGACGATTCCTCCCAACAAGAAAGCGAAGTACCAACAAGCCCATGATTCGAATGCATCTGCCTCTCCCCAAGCCGTCAAGACGTCACCTCCCCGGACTCAAAATGCACCTCAGCGACAGCCAGAGCCCGCCAAACCTATTCTCGTTTGCAAGGAGCCCGAATGTGAGACATCGGTCACAGGCTATGCCACCGAAGAAGCCCTTCAGAGGCACATGGACGAGGAACACATCAAACCCAAGGAAGATCCTCTGAGATTCGTCAAGGAGAACCTTGCTCTTGCTCTGGGTCTCGAGCCTGATGGCAGCGTGAAGAAGGAGCAGAAGCCGGCCGTGGCGCCAGACATGAGCTTGACCTCGTCCAAACAGGGACAAACACCCGGATACCTTGCGGCCGGGACCCCACTGTCCCAGGATAGTACGGCGATGAAGAGATCGGCAAGCACCAACAAGGTGCTTGGCAAGGGAGATTTGAAGCCTGTTGATCCATGGGCGAATGTGAGCATGGACTCTCAGGCCTTGATGAACAGCCTCGGCCTGGAGAGTGGGCTGAACAGCGTGGTTATGGACCCCACCGCGTTCCGCAACTTGACCCCTAATGATACTCCCGAGTCCAGCAAGGACAGCGGGGCCAGCGAGCCCAACAGCGACATTTCAGAAGGCGCCACACTCGACATTGGTGTTCACTGGCAAAACATTGATTCAGACCTCATCTTTGACATGGACAAGGCCACCTTACAAGGCGGTTTCGCTGGCTTCGGCGATGGTGAGGTACCCACAATGGATCCCTCACTTTTGTTCAATTCATCAGGCATGGATGTACCAGACTGGGACGATGTGAAGATTGATTTCACAAAACCGTTCCAACTAGACACCAAGCTATATTCCATGGATACTCTGTAAAGAGCTGTGTGTTTACAATAACAATGGGAATTGGTTTCACCCTTTGGATTACAGCCTCGTGGAGCGATTCTTCTCTTCTTTTTTAATAGTTTTTCTTTCTCTTTCTCTCTCTCTCTCTCTCTCTCTCAATCTTTCCACCTTAGAAAGATAAGACGAGCGCAGGGTGATTCATGATTTCGTATTTGGCTTGTGGGCTCGGTTCTTCCAGAGTCCCAAGATACATACTCTCAAGGTGGTTTTGATGACATACATACCCAATTGGTTTTCACGCGACCATCGACTCAAACACGCAGGTTTACATTGATTGGGCGGGGCGGGCACAAGGAGTCAAAAAACGAGGGTTTCTCTTTTTCTGCTACTTGCTCATTTTCGACATGGCGATTTGCATTTAACCCAGGGACATGGAAGCTGTGTGATAATGACGTTATTTGATTATTAAAGGGACGGATGGGGAGGGCCTTTTCTGCTCGGTGGTCTTGTTTTCGGTTTTTCTCATTTTATGGATTTTTCTCGCGTTCTTTGGTGTAGGGGACTAAGCCGCGGGAACTCGGCTCCAGGCTTCTTCTATTGATTTTGATGCTACCACTTGTTGTTCTTGTTGTTTGTTTTTCGTTTTCGAGTATTTTCTTGTTTTACATGGAGTGGCTATTTGCCAATATTGTCATGGGCGATTTTTTCTTGCGCAGTGGAAAGTGGATGGAAGGTTGTGTGGTTATATCTCGGATGACTTGATTTACAAGGTGCTTCTACCTAGCAAGCTCTATGGAATTGCGCGATCACGGGCACCAAAAGGCGGGGACGGTGTGAAAGAATTGATACCCAACCAAGGCGAAGAGCAGCAGCGGCGGTGCTCTTTGGCTTTTTGGTGGCGAGCAAGGGACGGGATGGGATGCTTTGAGATTATTTACTTAGCTATGGTGTTTTCTTATTAGTGCACCGGAAGAGACAAAGCCGGTTTCCGGATAACAAACATGAAAATTATGCGTTTCCTCAACTGATATTGGCAATTGAAGTGATTGGCATTGGTTCTTGGTGCAATTCTTGACTTCTATGCACGTCTCATGTCATGTCTTGACCGCATGCATATCGTACTGGGAAACCCCCATCTTGCCCTTGTCGCAGGTGAATAAGGTATCGGTGTCAACTCGGTTAGCGTCATGCAGCCGAGAATTGAGGTTGTTGTCATTATGATGTGTATCCATGGGTGGGCAGGCTCTGGGGAATACGGGAGAGCCGGGGTCAAGGAGGGTTCTGTTCCTGCATGGTCAACATCAAGCCACACCAAGCCTCAGCGTGCGATGCGCGTGTGTGCGACGTGCGCCAATGGATTGATAGTGCATACAGTAGTGGCGTAGCGTTCCGAGCGGAAGCACTAGTACCATCACCGACTAGCGTGTCCCGCCCCAGGGTAGCTGTATCCACTGTAGCTTCTGTCGCCTGTCGGCGCTGGGTAGAGGTATTGTTAGGCCCATGCACCAGACGCGGGTGCGAAAAACGCGGGCGTCGACTGGAACCAACCACACAGACGCCGCACCTTGCACAACACTCAAGCTCAAGGTACCCACATCCCGCGCTGGTCCATCCAATCTGCAGCGCCGGCTCTGCGCGCAGGGCCCAGGCTAGCCCTGAAGAGGAAATAAGTAAATACTTGTGCTTTATTGTATTGTACACAAGTTCTCCAGAGCGACATGGGTTGAAACGCATGCCTCCCATGTGTCCACTCTTGCCTACACGCGTTGGAAGTGACGACTAGTGGGTATGGCCTCTTTAATTGACCTCGTCCAATGCATGAACCATTAGCTGGACCTTCACCTTCACCGTACGCGGCTTCGTTTTCCCTTGGTTTTTCGTGTCTCGAGCGTTCCAGTCTTGCGCGTCGTTGGAGCAGTACAGGACACGGAAGTTTCCCTGCTCGTGAGTTAGCTGTAGTACCTCACAGCTTAAAGCCAGTCGAGAGCTAGGTTGCTCTGTCCCGTTGAACCTCACATCTCGTCCATTCTGTTGCATCAGAACAGATCTTCTCCCGCTCTCTCGCAGGCCAATCATCTTTGTTTTATACCCCCCTACCTTGCCATCACACGAAAAAGGCATTCCCCTCATTGTCCCGTGCCGAACCTGCAGGCCGCCCGAAATGGAGACCATCACAAAGTCACCGACCAAGAGACGCGCCCTCGCCGCCCTGGACGCGAACGCGCTCGCCTCCCCGAAGCCCCCTCACCAGCTCAAGAGCACGGCCAAGAGCCCCGTCAAGCAGATCAAGCGACCTCTGGAGGAACCAATGGCCGCCGCCGCGATGAGTCCTCTGCCCAAGAAGAGGGCGTGTTTCGAGGTATGTACTCCATCTACATCATGATCCCCCCCCCGCACGTTCTTTCCCAACTACTCGATTTCATATCATCGTGTATACATGATTGGCAGCCGTGCTTTCTAATATGCCTACGGGGAGGCTAATTCATATGTCACAGGTCCCGCAGGACGATCTCTCGAGGAGCCAGAGCCCAGAGGCGAGCTCCATATTCGACACGTCCGCCAACGATTCCTCGTGGGCCACTGAGCCGGAGGCGTCGCCTGCGCCGCGGGTCATGACGAGGCAGCAGGCAATGGAGGTTAGTTCCCCCCCTGTGCCCGGGTTAGCAGTCAATGGCAACCCACCATGGTGGGGGAAGAAATCATGAGTTTGACTAACACGTTCTGCCACAATAGAAAGCCGAAATCCTCCGCCTGAGGCTGGGCCTCGCCAGCTACAAGTTCCGCACGGGGCAGACGTCCGTCCCGCTCGCCAACCTGCAGAAGATGCCGCTGCCGCCGCGGGCGAAAAAGGCCGAGACGAGTGATTCCACAAGCCAAGAGAAGGAGAGGGATGTGTCTGCACAAGGAGACAAGGGCGACGACGCAAGGCAGCAGCAGCAGCAGCCACGGGCCTGGGGCAAGATCTCACACAGCCAGAATATGCCCAGCGAACAGAATCTCGGTGAAGACTCGAGCGACAATGACGATGTGGAGGAGGGGCAGGAAGGAGAGGATGCGGCGCCGGAGCTGCCGCGCCTGTCCCCGTCCAAGTACGCCATGTCGGCGCTGCAGAGCACAGAGGAAACCTTGACGGACCTGGCGGACGGGTTACTGAGTCTCTCGAGGAGTAATTCGGACGTGTAGCGATGAGGGTTTTATCTTCTTCTCTCTTCTCATTCTTGTCAGTGTTTTACTAGTTGGATGTCATGGAATGGGGTTTCCAACGGGATTTGATATGTTAGACATGTCACCGGGTCTTTTTTTTCACTCGTCACGGAGCCACTGTGGGAAATTATTGGGCGTTATTGGGGTAGCGGATCGAGCATACATGAGTAGTTAGGACATTCCAGAGATAGTGATGTGCCTACATTTACAGATACTTTATACCCATCAAATCCATCTGACTCTGTGATGTGGATATATGTGTGCGTTCATCATCTACACCAGTGTGTTCAATCCATTCATAACATGTCTGACTTGCATCTCTTTTTCAACCTCTTCACTTCAAAACGTCATCACACATCTACATCGTGCCTTGGAAACCCAAGTTGTCCAGGGCTGTTCCTATCAAAACTCCTCGGCCCACAGAACTCCATCCAACGCACGTTTAATCTAGTCCACGAGAATTCTAGGCTCCAGGGTCCCGTAGTTCTCGAAGAAGTCGGAGAAGAGCTTGATGGCGTAGCCCACGTCCTCGGTGCCGCCCGTCTCGCGGATGCTGTGCATGCTCAGCTGGGGGTTGCCGAGGTCGAGGGTGCGCATGCCGAGGGCGGCGGCGAGGCCCGGGCCGATGGTGCTGCCGCAGGGGGAGTCGTTGCGGACGACGAAGAGCTGGAGCGGGACGCCGGCGGAGCGGGCGCACTCCTGCAGGAGGACGATGCCGGGGGAGTTGGTGGCGTAGCGCTGGTTGGCGTTGATCTTGATGACGGTGCCGCCGTTGATGGTGGGCTGGTGGGACGACTCGTACTTGCCCGCGTAGTTGGGGTGGACCGAGTGGGCCATGTCGGCCGAGACGAGGAACGAGCGGGACAGGGTCTGCTCGAAGGCGGTGGCCTCGTCGCCATCGTGGTTGACGTGGTCGTAGCTCTGGTCGCTGTGGGCGTCCCGGTTGCCCGGGAGGACGGAGAGGCGGCGCAACACCGAGGGGAGGAGGTTGGAGTGGGCGCCCTGGGCGGACTGGGAGCCAATCTCCTCGTGGTCGAAGCAGACGGTCAGGCGGATGGTGGAGTCGTTGTCCAGGGACGACTCGTCCTTGAGGGAGGCGATGAGCCCCTCGACGGAGCAGTAGGTCATGCCCAGGTTGTCGAGGCGGGGCGAGAAGACGAACTCGTCGTTGATGCCTCCAATGACAGACTTCTGGGTGTCGTAGAGGACCAGCTCGAAATCAGCGATGGCGGCGGCATCGATGCCGAGCTCCGAGGCAACGACGTCGAGGACCCGGGGGTGGTGGCGCTCGCTCATCTGCTTGAGGGGCTGGAACTCGGGGTCCGCCTCGGCCTCGTCCGTCTTGGACTCCCCGCTCTCATCAGCAGGCTTGGCACCGCCCTTGTTCAGCTCCGCGGCCGCAAGGCCAGTGATGGGGAACAGCTCGGTCTCCTTGTTGGGGTCGAAGTTGGACTGGCGGTGAAGGTGGATAGCGAGGGTTGGGATCCGGATCAGCGGCTTGTCGATCTTGACGAGCTTCTGGACGAAGTTGTCGCCGTCGCGGACGAGCACGCGACCAGCCAGACTGAGGTCACGGTCGAACCACGAGTGCCAGATACCACCGCCATACGTCTCGACGCCGATCTGGAGGAAGCCGTTGGCGGCCTTCTTAGAGACGGGCTTGACCCGCAGGCAGGGAGAGTCGGTGTGGGCGCCGACAATGGCGACGGGGTTTCCAGGGCGCCACTTTCGGCCGATTGTGAATGCAACGATGGAGGAGCCGTTGCGTGTGAGGTAGTACTTGCCGCCGGGGCGGAGGGTCGATGCCCAGGAGTCTCGCTCCTTGATCAGTTGGAAGCCGACCTTCTCGAATCGTTGGGAAGCAGAGTAGACGGCGTGGTAAGCTGGAGTGTGCAAGATGGGGGATTTTGTCAGTCTACTGGGCCATATAAATACATCGGATGGGCTGCGGGGGGCTAAACTCACGAGTTGGCGAGGCATTGACGAAATCGACAAAGTCGAGAGCTGTTGGGTTGGGAGCCATGGTGATGGTGGCAGCGCTGAAGCTTGCTCTGTGCACGAGCGGGGTTGGCGAGTCCAAAAAAGGTCGGAATCGGTGGTGGAGACGTCGAGATGCAGTCAATGATGCTCGGTGCGTGGTATAGGCGATGCTCCAGGGGCTGAGGATGACTAGATTGAACATGGAGGGATCAGATCAAAGTGTGCCGCCGGATGCTGCAGTAGATCAATCAGTCGTAGATAGACGTCACATGTGCCTTGCTGCCATTTGGTAATGGGCAACAGGCTGGTTGGCTGACTTACCCCGTACTTGGCCGCTGCCCCGCCCCAGGGTCTTATCCTTATCGGGCCCTAACCACCTTGGGCGAAGCTCCAGGAAGTGAGTTTACAGCTTCGTGGTAGCTTGGCACAAACTTTCGGGAGGAGCCGTGATTCAAATCATATGTGTCCTAAAATACCTACCTATGTAGGTTTGGATATATCTAAGCAACTAGAGTCTCTGAAATTCATAGGACACGTAGGGCAAATGTCCGAATATGTGACCCGCACAATCGAACATTGCTTGTTCTATACATGTAATACATTCAACAGTTTAAAGCATGAATGATCACAGCCATATGTCCCACACTCGACAGATAAATATCAAACAAGAAGATTTAGTACCGCTAGATAGGCTCTTACGAGACGGAAGGAGAATAAGCCAAATTCATTACGATCCATCGCGTAGATGTGGTCTCAAGGTCAACCACAAAAGCAAGTGTAGGGTAGCTGTTGCACTCTCCAATGCAGCCTGTTGCTATTTTTAGATACATTCAGGACACGAGCATTTGCACGTAATAACTTGGAGATGGCTTGAGGGATTGCCAGGCACCACGTCTTTTCACCTCAGAGCTCATGTGCGGCAAATGAGAAGGGCGCACATACCTGGGCCACCAGCCGTCCAAGCTTTCATTGTGTCACCATAATACGAGGATGGTGGCGAGTCCATGGGTGAACTCTGGCGAGAGACTTGGGGCATCAGCGCGCGTGCACCTAGCCGAGATTATCTCACATCCTTCCTCCAGGACCAGCTACCCACACTTAGTACCCGCCGTTAAGCGGCGTCTTACGGAATCCTTGCTTGCCATTCTGCTTACGCCCGTGCCCCATGGGTTTGATGATGACCTGCCTATCATGCTGTTCGCGCAGGCTGCATCGAAAGGAGGTATCTAGTGTGGGTTTAGCAGTCAAATGAGGCCATAGAAATTTACAAGTCACGAGAGGAGAGAGCAAGTTGTTTGAAGAAGAAGAAAAGGGTCATGATATTTCTATCTGAAAAGAAGAGAAGATAAAATAAGAGAAAAAAGAAGAAGTGAAAAAGTTAAAAAAAGAAGAAGCCCAGTAAAAAAGTGCGCCGAAAAAATGTCAAAATATCAAATCATCACCATCGCTTCCATCCCTGGTTATGCGATGTTTGTGTGTGTCCGCTCCACTAATCCGTTTCCAAACTCTCGCCACCCGCTCGACTCAGCTCTCAGACGTGGGCAGGTCGGTACTGCATCTGGGGCTTGCTGATGACAGGACGCTGGCCACTGTGGTTGTTGTAGGCAGGTCGGGTGTGCTGGGCGGGAGGGTAGGAAGGCCTGTCGTTGACAGGGGGGTATGAGGGCCTCTCGCTGTTGCGAGCGGGAGGGTAGGCGGGAGCCTGCTGCTGAACAGGAACCGAGTAGTGGGCGGGAGGCTGGTAGGTGGTCCTCTCGGTCTGGACAGGAGGGTAGGTGGAGGCGTGGTAGGCGGGCTGGCTCATGGGGGGGTAAGTGCCCTTGCCGATGGTCGGGTAAGAGGAGTCGTCGCTGTCGGATCCAGTGGACTTGGCAGGGTACTGGATGTAGTCGGGCTTGATGGCCAGTCCTGGGTGACCCCAGAAGAGGGCGGCGGCACCGAGGATCATGAAGACACCCTCAGCGATGATGAAGGGGACCTCGTGGGTGATGGCCTCTCCGCTGTATCCCTCCTTGAGCTCGTAGACACGGAAGGCGCAACGGGCAAGGATGATGGTGACGGAGAAGCTGATGCCGGCGACGAAGGCCTTCAGGCGCCACTCGACCTTGGGGAGGCGGTGGGACATGAAGAAGCGGACGAAGAAGTCGGCAAAGGCGGCCATGAAGCCGACGAGGACAACGAGCTGCAAGCTCAGACCAGCCTGACTGACCTTGTTTCCAATCTTACCAGTGTCGGCGGAAGTAGCAGTGACCGAAAGGGCACCACCAGCACCCTGGAGGACGAGGCAGAGGATATCGGCAGGAAGGAAGATCCACACCCAGACTGAAGGCTTGAGTCGGGTCAGGTCAGGAGCGAAGTGGGAGATGCTCGCAGACAGGGTGACGTAGATGCCAGCAGTGTAGAAGATGGGGGCGATGGTCAGGGCGACGGTCTGGACAACGAAGGGGAGGAACTTGAAGGGGTTGGCGTGCAGCACGACACGACAGCCGTATCCGGCAATCTCAAGGAGACAGCCGAGAATCATGCTGGTCATGTAGCCCCAAGTCTTCCACCGGATTCCCAGGTAGATGTGGCCGAACATGATCAGGCCGAAGATGACAGTGAATGCCAAGTTGACGGCCTTGTCGGGGTTGTACTTGTAGATGGTGGTCTCAATGGGGCAGACCTCGAGAGTACAGTTGGCCTTCTTGCCGAAGGGGAGGTAGTACTGGTCATCGAGAGGGTTGTGGTAGAGAGGGCGAGACATCTTGACTGATTTGAAATGATAAAATCGACGACTGAACCGGGAATTTCTTTTGACTTTTCTTTTTTCCGAAATTGAATGCTTCTCGTGGGCAAAACAAAAAAATGCTGCGAAAGAGAACAAGAGATGAAGAAAAAAATAGAGGTTATTTGAAGAAGAGAGCTTGCTCAAGAAGAGAAGAGAATAGAGAAAAAAGGAAAAAAAGGAAAAAAAGAAAAGAGAAAAGAGAAAAAAGGAAGATGGTTGATGAGGCTCGTGATGAGTGGTGAGGAGAGAAGGAAAGCAGAACAGATGGTGGAGGAGAGCTCTCCTCATATAGGCTTCAACCCATGCTGGGAGATAATTCTCGCAGTTGCCATAATTAGACTATGAACATGGTTTCAGCCTTACATAGCAGCGTGGCCTGCAAGTTGCTGCCCGCTTAGAGGCACAGACTCCACCGATGAGCAGTAATAAGGTCCAGCTTGCGCACGGGTTCGGAGCCAGACCCTGTCGTCTTGAGCAGGGGGTTGTGCAGGCCTCGCTTGAGCTTGAGTCTTGTCCACAAGGCGCAGCAGCTTTTGCGTGCTTACTCTGGCCAGCCAACGGCAGCCAGGCGACATGGGGACCGTCAGCGCCGCATGCACGCTCGGATGCAAGATCCATCCATTTGGAGATTAGCTACGGGGGGTATCTTGCCCAAAGAGCGTAAACGATGTCGGTCTGGCCATCCATGTTGGTTGTGTTGGTGCGGTGACCTGCTGTCTACTACCAACGGCATAACCATCACATCACTATCGCATGCGGCCATTCTCTCGACCAGTCTGGCGGCCAGCTGCTCATGCTGAGGCAGTGCTGGCCTCACCGCTGCGAGGCCGGTGGAAATAGAAGCGACCAACAGAACACCATCTGGACTAGGCCAGAGTGACCGGGCCAGCTGCTCAGAGATTACGTCCATGTAGGCCAACGGCACCTCGAGACAAGACAGCAGGTGGGACAGCTCTTTGGGCTGAGAATCGAAAATAGTCCAAGGTCCTAATTTCGGCACCTGCTGTCCATTTCCCGTCTCGATCTGGGGATGCAGAAGGGGAGTTTACTAAGCCAGCAAGCCCAGAGCTGAGGGGCTTCAGCCTGCTGTGGACCGCTCCGGGGGATTAGAAAGACAAATGGGTCACTGATGGACTGGCGTATACTGAAAAAGAAAGAAAAACAGGCTTGGCCAGCCCAACCACCTCCAACTCTTGGATCCCTGCCAGCAACAGCACGCACCTCATGCCGGCACGTTTCAACGCCCCAATTAAAATCCGTCCAGGGCGGTCCCAACTAAGCAGCGTGGCTCCATTATAATAGTCTGTATTATGCTTCCTCCCACTTCTTATTCTTCTCCCCACCCGCCAGAAATAGAGTAGCAGCCTCAGTGGCTTACTGTCTCAACTGCCTGTTTGGGCAACTGACTGGCAGCCCGCTTACGCGTGTTTCCTTGGTCTCAGTCGCTCGACGGAGAGTGCGAGGACAATTCACGACATCCTGCAGTCAAGTTACACCCAAAGTATGAGAGCCTGTGTAAGTGAGTGAAATACACCAAACTGGCGGCTTGGTTGTGTCTCTCAACAAGAGCCCTTCGCGCGCTTGAACTGATATCTGGCGTAAATCGCGCTGCCTCATTTCTTTTACTGCTTCATTTGCCTCCTCACCCCAGCCGACTCGCCAGGTCCCTGCCGTGCATCATCAATTGGTCATTTCTGCTGGTGCTGACTTGCGCGATGCAGCAAGAGGCCTCCTCGTTTACGGCCTGCATGGTAGCTACCACAAACGGATGCCTCTTAATAACCTTGTCTGATAAGCCTCTTCAATTGGACTTTGGTTCAACTAATATCATTAGGCCCAGCCAGGAATAGGGACGCACCAAGCACATCCCATGTTAGCCTCCCCATCGCTCACAAGGGATCGCCAACAACCCCAACCCTGGGTCGTTCGAGTTCCCAATGTGGTTGGAGTCTTCGTCGCCCATGCGTCTAGGTAAATCTCAGTTTCATGACATGATGTGATGTGAATGTGCCGCAGTAAGACATCACACCAAACTTTAATCGCTCTCCTCATAGCGCGTAAAACTGACCATGCCCGGTGGGTAGCGGGACACTACCGGCAGGAGTCGACGTAAGCACTTAGGCGATTAATAAAATTAGAAAACAGAGCCGAGATTGATTTGAGTAGTCCGAATGGATTTCGGGACCGACTGTTGCTGGATCTGCGTGTGTCGAGCCCACTTGCTTCACACGTGGCCACCAGAGGCTTCGTTCACGATGCTTCTCTCTCAAACATCGTCAATCATTGCTGTCTTTGTTGAACGAGGATTCACTTGTAAGTCTCTGGCGGTTTGGACTCTCGAGTCGGTTGCTAAATCCGATTCTTTTTGTCGTCGTCGGCTGCTCTTCTTTGGCGTACTACATCCTTTACCTCCTGGCAACTGTTCACCCAGCCGGTCAAACCCTACGATTCGCGTCGCTGATTGTCATGGTAAATGTTCAAGGTCGACATGTTCTCTCTCTCTCGCAAATTTTGCCGATGTCTTATCGATGAAATATGTCTCACTGGTCACGAAGTCCATGGGCCGTTCGATGGTATCTGAGTTGATACATTCTGTGAGGCACCCAGGCGCGTCGATGGGATCGTCCCTAAGGCCATGAGATGATGGTAGCCAAGTTCCGACAGCGGGGACGAGAATAAGATGCTTTGGAAGCAACACGAACCACCTATCTGCCGTCCAAAAGTGGTTGGGCGTTAACCATGTGTTTAGTCACCTCATCGCGGCCTGCCTATAACTTCCGCTCGAAAGTTGTCATATCACAGACGTGATTTGGGTGCAAACGGTATGAAAACAACATGCCCCGCCCCTCAGCTTATCAGCTTGTTGTATCTGCCCTAAAGTTCGGCTACAAGAGAAATACTCGACGACTATGTGCTCTCAGTGGTTCACAAGCCGAGCTAAAGGACAAAATGGCTCAACCGACCTGCCACGTACAGAGATTCATGCGCGCTTAGACGAAGATGCTGGTTTGGAGCCTACAACTTCTGCTTCTCAGCGGGCAAAGCGTGAAACAAGCAATGAGTGGTTGAGGAGAAGCTCTTTTCTGTCAACTCCGGTTGGTTGGTCGGCTTATTCTCCAGATCGACGGAGTTGAGCTCACCCTCACAAATTAAATCGCTCAGGCTACGCGCGACATTGCATCTAAGAGCCAGCCAACTACATTCCGTCCAGCCACTCATGTCGACCCAGGCATGCTCACTGCCCGAATCGCAGAACTTATACCATGGGACCAAGGATTCCTGTTAGCTTCGAATTGGCTGAAAGCGACTCCTTCTTTAGTAGCCTGGTTTTGATATCTATGGGCATTCCGTGCGCATGCCATCATACTTTGGAAATTGGGACAGTTTTAATTGACGGTCACAAGCGATGTGCAGACATCATCAACGCCGCTCACTCCTGGTTCTCTCAAACATCCGAACAATCAGATTAAACAAGGCTATCCACCCGCCCGTAACTCAACTCGCAAGTATACAAGGCAGATACAACTCCCATCCGACCAGCTTCAGCTTCTAGGTCGCCAAAAAAAGCAGTTATTAGGTCAAAAATAAGAAACGAAAGGAGAGATAGGCCCCTGTTGAGGTTCGAGCAAGCGGGAGAATGATCAGACCAGACACAAGGTGACTACCAACACTGCTGGCTCAGTACATGTGGTTTATACATGATGTCGACCGTTGATGATGGGCAAGGTCTCGACTCGCCTTTTTCAATGTGGATTGTTCGCGGATCTTCCTCCCCCATCATTGCTCAACTGATATCTTGGCGTAGGGCTTTCCTCTTGCAAGTCATCTGAGAAGTGGCCTGCTTTTACTGTCCCGGTTTGTCCGCGGAAACCGGTGTGAATCGATGACGTGAAATTTGTCTGCCGGCCTTTTGTCGGTGACCTCCTGGTAGCTTCCTCGCGTATTCGTTGACCGTTGGTGTAGTCTCAGCGACATCATTCTCCTTCTTATTCTTGACCCCCGCTTCATGTCCTTCCAGAATTACCTCTTGGGTGCCTAAATACTTCTTGACATACACAGCGTGGACGTCAATCTCTGAAACACCGCCAGCCTGGCTTAGATCTCCGCCGAATTGCCTGCCGTGGTCACCTCCTTGCTAGCAAAATATGGCGCCCGCCGATGGGAATTCCATCCTGACCCCAGGCATAGACGCCTGTGCATTCGCTCATGTCAGGTATAGTCACCTTGTCGCCATCCTCGATAGCACCCGCGAGCACAGAATTATGCTTTTATGGTTCGGCTTTTCCATCTTGATTGTCGGCTTTCTTCTGTGGAAGCAGATCCTTCCCATTGAACTGGTGTCGTTTGACCGAGCAACTTGGACCGGCCTTTTCAGCATCCTCGCTGACCGTCGCGCTACCAACACTCTTCTCTTTCACGTTGTTGCTGCTATTGGCACCGGCCTTCTTTATATTTTGTGCCTGTTTCTAGACTTCCTGCAAGCATCTTTTCGCTTGGTCCCCTTGGCTTTAGCCTTCTTTAAACCAGCCTTCTGAGAGCTAGCCTTCCTAGAAGCCGCGTTGCCCCCAGATTTCTTGGCGCCCGTTTGCTTCTGCCAGTTTTTGGGTTGGAAGGAGCTTTGCCCTGGGGTCTGTTTGAAAAATGTAGTCTTCTCCGTCCTAGGTTTCTTGGAACTGGCCTTGTCTTCAGTACCCTTGGGACAGGCCTTGCTCGTGGCCGTGGCCTTTCCCTCTGGCCCTTCAGCACCCACCTTCTTGGAAATAGGTTTGGTCTTGGAAGCCGGTTTGGTCTCCCAAGCCGGTTTGTTCTCCGAAGTCGTTTTGTTCTCCGAAGTCTCTTTGGTCTTCGAAGTCTCTTTGGTCTTCGAAGTCTCTTTGGTCTTCGAAGTCTCTTTGGTCTCCGAAGTCGCTTGGGTCTCTGAACTCGTATTGGTCTTGAAGGTCTTTTTGGTCTTGGAAGTCGGTTTAGTCTTGGAAGCAGGTTTGGTCTCTGAAGTCGCTTTGGTCTTTGAAGCCGCTTCAATCCTGGCCGCTGCAATCTCAGTCTTGAACGTCGCTTTAACCGTGGAAGCAGTCTTGCCCTTGGATCACTGAGCACTTGTCTTCTGAGGCGGCCCTTCTTTCTAGCAGCCTTTCCATTGACCCCTTCAGGGGCCTGCTTCGATGGGCCGGTCTTGCCCTTGGCTACAGCGTTCCCGAGGCTCTCTTTCCTCGAAGCAACCTTGCCTGTGGCTCTCTGCGAAGTCGCCCTTTTCAAGGTAGCATTATCACCAGTCTTTCTAGGGTTGGCATTCTGAGCACCAGCTTTTGCCTTTAGTCCCTCCTTCGTAGCAGTGGTAGACTTCGTGGGCGTTGCTTTCTTTACTTTCGTAGCAGCCTTGTTAATGGCACTGGTGGCCTTCATTGTTGGGGGAACTGCCTTCTTGGGGATGCCAGGCGTCCGAGCTTCTATATGGGGCTCATGGGGCTCCCCAGTCGTTCGAGGATTTAGGATATATGTTTCATCATCCTCACGGGGCTCGGATGCGAGGCCTATGTAGTCGACGTTGTCAATGTCATTTCGGATGTCTAGGTCGGCTTCAGCAGTGGCAGTGACCGTAGTAGATTTAAGCAGAAGGAGGAGAGCTGCAAGTGCGAGATACTTGGAAGAAGTCATTCTCAAAGTGGTAGCTTGTTGAACAATTGGTATTAAGATAACGAGGGGAAAGGAAAGGAGAAGAATTAAATAGAAGCGAGTACCGTCTAACATCAGGGCTACGTCATTCTATTTCTCATTACCTATGATTAATTTTGCTCTAAAGCATGGGAAAGTTTAAAAGGGAGATGTGGAAAACTGGCCTTATGGCACACGACCGAACGTCATCCCCATCTAATCGTTGAGATGGACATGAGAATCATCAAAGTAGCAGCGTATATTTATCGTATGGAAGTATCATCATTCTCCGGCATAAAATCTACTGTACTCTCGACATCTGACTCGGGCGGCGTGGTCGTACTATATAGATGCCACGGATCTAAATTTTCCCACATTGTGTAGTACTACATTCGCAGTCCCCAGGAGGCAAAGTCCTATGAAACAGCTGCATACAAAACTGAAAGACAGGGTTTCCCCTGAGCACCAGCTTTCTTGGGGGCCGCCTTCTTAGCACCGGGCTTCTTTGAAGTAGCTTTGCCCTTGGATCCCTTAGAATCAGATTTGGGTCTGCTCGCGGCAGTCATCGGATAGCTCGTCGTTGCGATATCTGTAGCCTTCCGGGGACAGACGACAGGCAGCCAAGTAGGCGTTGCCCTGAACGTGGTTCTGTTGGAAACCGCACTGCTGCTTCTGGTGCAGTCTTGGGCTACGCTCGAAATCTCTCTCGGCGCCATTGCTCGCTTGAAAGCTCTAGAGACCACCACACCTCACGGGGGTAAGGTCTCGCAATGTCTCGATGTCCAGTATGGTTGGCCCATACAAGGTCAAGTTCGGATTAATTATACCACTACCGAATATAAGTAAACAATTCAGACGAGTACCAGAAGAGATGAGGCGGAATTCTACCATGCCGCAGTGCCGACACAGTTGCTTTAAAGTATGTTAGTCTGTCTATTAATCCTGGCCAGGAGATTGTCGTTTGCGGCCGCACTGGCAGGCAAGTACAAGCTGATTCTGATTGATGGGTATAGATATACTGACTCGTTGCATGGTGGGAAGAGTTCACTCATATTAACACCCCTCGGACTACTGGACCTACGAGACGGAAACATCGTAGTAGACGGCATAGATATCTCGCGCGTGTCTCTGGAGTTTCTACGCCGACGCTGCTTCATATCAGTCTCAAGATGCCCTGCAGCTCCTAAATGAGACTCCGTTTCAATCTCAACTCGGAGTGCAACACGTCTATGTAATGGCTGCGTGCTACATGCACCATGGATGCTTGTAAATAGCGGGCTGGCATTCAAAGATCGGTGCAACGTGTCAACAGAAGCTCGTGTTGATAAGCCCGACCCCATAGCCGATTGTTGTAGGTTCTCTGGCCATACCTGGTATTGCCTTGCCCATCAGCCGCCTGCTGCTCTTCTGAACCTAATCTTCTCAGTACCAGCTTTCTTTGAAATAGTCTTGCACTCAGTATCTTTGGGATCGGTCTTGCTCTTAGCATCAGCCTTTTCTTTTGACCCTTTGGCACAATACAAATAGTCTCTTCACGCTCGCGTAATGAGCCTTCACGAACGAGATGATAATTGAAAGAATGCTAACTTATATAATAATAATAAAGTACAACAGAATTTCCAAAGTTGCTCACTCATCAATGTGTTCTTCAAGATGTCGTACACAACCCTCAGCTCCAAGGTCATTTCCTTTAGCTGTCGCCTTTCTTTGCCGCTGCCTCTGCATCTTCCTTCTCCTTCTTCAATCTCTTCATCTCTGCCATTCTTGCCCTCGTCTCTGCGTACGATCCGGCGATTGGTTTAACCGGTGCCTCGGGATTACTGAAGGTTGGTTTAGTTGGCGCGTTGGCTTCTCGGTCCTCGGTGCCTGGGATTTTTTCGACACCTTCTTCACCAGAAGTCATCTTTAGATGCGCTCTGTTGTGAGTCTCTGAGGTAGCATATTTTCCATGGTTGACCTCTGGTTTGTTGTCGTTCACCCTGTTGGGGAACTTGTTGGCAATGGCAGCGTCAACATTGGATTTTCGCCCATCCCCAGCCGCAGTATCGTGTGTCACAACGTCCATTGAATGGATGTTTTTTGGCCCAACCTTATCAATGAGCTTTTCTACCACCGGCTTCTCTTGGTTGGCCATCGCGTGGGCGGCACCTATGATTGTACCATCTTCATTTTTGCATGATGTACCAGTGCACCCACTCATGTAAGGCATAATTACCTGCTTGCCTTGCTCAACCTCCTTTGTGTACTCATTCTCCGCTAGGTGAACACCCTCACCCAAGTCCGTCTGGGACTCTTTCGTGACTTCCTTGAGTGGCGGGACAATTTGGTCGCTTTCGCTTGACGACCCGGAACATCGGGGATCCAGGATGACCTCGCCTGATGAGGACCGCCGTCTGATCGAGCAACTTGGTGCAGCCTCCTGGGCCTCACCATTTGCTCCCTTGTTACCAACGCTCTTGCCGGCCTTATCAGGGTTGGCATTCTTGACTGCCTTGCCATTCTTGGCTCCCTTACCAGCCTTATTACCTTTGCCAGTTTTGTTGCGGTTGACAGTCTTTTTGCGGTTGGCAGTCTTTTTGCGGTTGGCATTCTTGTTGCGGCTGGCAGCCTTGGGTCCGTTACCAGCCTTGATACCTTTGCCAGTCTTGTTGCGATTCGTACTCTTGACTCCCTTGCCAGCCTTGGATCCCTTACCAGCTTTGGCTCCCTTGTTGGCCTTGTTGTGGTTGGCAGCCTTGGGCCCCTTACCAGCCTTGTTTTGGTTTCTGGCTTTGGATCCCTTGCCGACCTTGTTGCGATTCCCACTCTTGACTCCCTTGCCAGCCTTGGGTCCCTTGACAGTCTTATTGCGGTTGCCAGTCTTGGATCTATTACCAGCCTTAATACCTTTGCCCGCCTTGTTACGGTCGCTGGTCTTATTGCGGTTGGTAGTCTTGGCTCCCTTACTAGCTTTAGCTCCCTTGCCAGTCTTGTTGCGATTTGTATTCTTAACTCCCTTACCAGCCTTATTTCGGTTGCTGGCTTTAGATCCCTTGCCGACCTTGTTGCGGTTGGTATTCTTGGCTCTTTGACCAGCCTTGGTACCTTTGCCAGCCTTGTTGCGGCTGCTAGTCTTATTGCGGTTGGCAGCCTTGTTGCGGCTAGCAGCCTTGGATCCCTTACCAGCCTTGGGGACTTTGCCAGCCTTGGAGCCTTTAACGGCCTTGTTGCGGCTTGCTGTGTTCTTGGTATTTTTGCCACCCTTCTTACCATTTCCAAGTTTCTTAGAAATAGCTTTGCCCTTGCCAGCAGGTTTGCCCTTGGCACCATTTGCTCCAGCCTTCCTAGGACCAGATTTTCCTTTGGAAGCAGCTTTTCCCTTGATTCCATTAGTGCCGGTTTTCTTTACGCCGGACTTCTTGGAAGATGCTTTGCCTTTCCCAGTAGCTTTTCCCTTATGTCCCTTGCCTGCAGCCTTGCCTTTGGAGCCAGTTTTCTTGGGGCCGGTCTTCTTAGAAGCAGCCTTTCCATTGGCTCCTTTAGAACCAGATTTACTGGTTCCCTTGGCACCAGCTTTACCCTTAGCAGCGTGCTTCTTAGGCATAGCCTTCTTAGAACCAGCTTTTATGGGAGTGGCCTTCTTGGCTCCCTTGACACCAGGCTTTTTAGAAGCAGTTTTGCTCTTAGCTCCCTTGGCACCAGCTTTACCCTTGGCAACAGGCTTCTTAGGTGTAGCTTTCTTAGAGCCAGCTTTCTTTGGTGTGGTTTTCTTAGAAGCAGCCTTCTTGGCTCCCTTGGGACCAGGCTTTTTAGAAGCAGCTTTACTTTTAGCTCCCTTAGGACCAGCTTTACCCTTAGCAGCAGGCTTCTTGGGTATAGCCTTCTTTGGTGTAGCTTTCTTAGGACCAGCTTTCTTAGCCCCCTTAGAAGCAGCTTTCTTAGAAGCAGCTTTCTTGGGAGCAGCCTTCTTGGCTCCCTTGGAAGCAGCCTTCTTAGAAGCAGCCTTCTTAGGAACAGCCTTCTTTGATGTGGTTTTCTTAGGACCAGCTTTCTTAGCTCCCTTGGGACCAGGCTTTTTAGAAGCAGCTTTACCCTTAGCAGCAGGCTTCTTTAGTGTAGCTTTCTTAGAAGCAGCCTTCTTAGAAGCCTTCTTAGGAGTAGCTTTTTTAGGAGCGGCCTTCTTTGGAGCAGCCTTCTTTGGAGCAGCCTTCTTTGGAGCAGCCTTCTTTGGAGCAGCCTTTTTGGGAGCGGCCTTCTTAGAAGCAGCCTTCTTTGGGGCAGCCTTCTTAGGAGTAGCTTTCTTGGGAGCGGCTTTCTTGGGAGCAGCCTTCTTTGGAGCGGCCTTTTTAGAAGCAGCCTTCTTTGGGGCAGCCTTCTTGGGAGTAGCTTTCTTGGGAGCGGCTTTTTTGGGAGCAGCCT